ATATTGATAAAATTGAGAGGAAGAACTCAATAAGCATATCGGTGTTCGGCTATAAGGGTAAGAGGCAGTTCTATCCAGTTAGAAACTCTAAGACCAAATATGACGAACATATGGAGCTGCTGCTGTTAGGTGACAATGAAGGTGGTAACCACTACGTTCTAATAAAGGATGTAAATAGAATGCTCTTCAGTGTTAGCGGAAACTCGAACAAGAAACACTTCTGTTTACATTGCCTCCATAGTTGCGTCAGCGAAGAATCATTGAAGAAACATAAGGAGACGTGTCTTCAGGTAAATGGAACTCAGGCCACAAAGCTTCCAAGTGAAGGTTCAAAAATAAAGTTCGGACACTACAGGAACTCAATGCCTGCACCCTTTGTGATCTATGCTGACTTTGAGTCCATGCTAGTTCCTGAGGAAAGAAAAGTTGACCCTGAAGACACTGAGGAGAAGAGTACAACAGAACTTTACCAAACACACAAAGCTTGTAGTTTCGGGTTGAAAACAGTGTGTCATTATGATGATCAGTACTCCGGTGAATATGTAAGCTACGTTGGTGAAGACGCTTCAGAAGTCTTTCTAAAGACAGTTCTGAAGGAATCCATCAGGTGCCGAGAAATGGTAAATAAAATCTTTAAGAAAAAGATGGTAATTACACCAGAGCAAGAAGCTGAGTTCTGGATGACAAGGAACTGCTCCATATGTGGCAATGACTTAGGTGACGACAGAGTGAGAGACCATGATCATGTAACTGGACTGTTCCGTGGAGCTGCTCATAATATGTGTAACTTGAAATACAGAATTACATGGAAAGTTCCTGTGGTCTTCCACAATCTAAGAGGATACGATAGCCATCTAATAATGCAGGAGATCGGTAAGTTCAAGATGAACATTAACGTGATTCCAAATAACATGGAAAAGTACATTTCATTCTCACTTGGCAAAAGTCTAGTGTTCATTGATTCAATACAATTTATGGCTTCATCTCTAGAGGCACTTGTGAGTAATCTTTCACCTGAAGACTTTAAGATAGTCGGTCAGCGGTGGCAAGGTGAAGACTTCGATCTTGTAAGACAGAAAGGTATATTTCCATATGAATACCTGGATGATATCAGTAAACTCGATACCAAGGAACTTCCAAGTAGAGACAAATTCTACTCATCACTATACGAGTCTGAAGTGAAAGAAGAAGATTACCAAAGAGCTCTAAAAGTTTGGGATCACTTTAAGATGAAGACAATGAGAGACTACCACGATCTCTACCTGGAGACTGACGTTCTTCTTCTGGCAGATGTCTTTGAGAATTTCAGGAAGACCTGCTTGGAAAATTACAAGCTTGACCCTGCTCACTACATCTCAGCACCAAGTCTAAGTTGGGACGCGTTCTTAAAGCAGTCAGGAGAAGAAATAGAATTGGTAAGCGATATGGATATGTTCCAGTTCTTTGAGAAGGGAATGCACGGTGGGGTAAGTCATATTGCTCACAGACACTCTACAGCGAATAATAAGTACATGGAAACTTATGACAAAGAAGCTGAAAACAAGTTCTTGATGTACCTAGACGCCAACAACTTATATGGCTGGGCGATGTCTCAACCGCTGCCTAACGGTGAATTTGAGTGGATCGAGAACGTTGACGAAATAAATATTGATGACTACTTAGGAGACAGTGGAAGGGGTATGGTTCTTAAGGTTGATATGGAATATCCAGCAGAACTTCATGATATACATAATGGTTATCCACTAGCTCCAGAAAGTAAGGAAATTGATGTGTCAATGTTATCAGACTATGCTAAGGATATTGCTGATAAGTTCCAGCTGACAATTGGAGGTGTACAGAAACTGGTAAACTCCCTAGGTCCTAGAAAGAATTACGTCCTACATGTCAGAAATCTGAAACTCTATATGGAGCTCGGAATGAAACTCATAAAGGTTCATAGAGCAGTCTCCTTCAAGCAGTCAACTTGGTTGAAAAAGTATATTGACTTCAATACTCAAAAACGATCAGTCGCTAAGAATGCGTTTGAGAAAAACTTCTTCAAGCTCATAAATAATTCCATATACGGAAAGACTATGGAGAACTTGAGGAAGAGGGTTGATGTGAAATTAGTGTCGTCCGAAAACAATCTCCTAAAACTTACAGCATCTCCGTGCTTCCAGTCTCATAGAATTATGAATGAGAGCTTGATTGTGGTAAAGAGGTTAAAGGAAGTGTTAACTCTGAATAAACCGTGTTATGTGGGAATGAGTATCTTAGACTTATCCAAAACTCTAATGTACGACTTCCATTATAACACTATTAAAAAGGAATATGGTAACAAGTCAAAGCTCCTCTTCACGGACACTGATAGTCTCATGTACGAAATCAAAACTGATGACGTGTACGAGGACTTCAAGAGAATCGGTGAGGAGAAAGATTGTTGGGATAATTCTGACTATCCAAAAGATTCTCCATATTACTCAGCCCATAACAAAAAGGTTATTGGGAAGTTTAAGGATGAAGCTGAAGGAGTACCAGTGATAGAATTCGTGGGGTTAAGGTCGAAGATGTACTCCTACGTGAAGGAGAGTGGTGGAGGTGGAATGACAGCTAAAGGTGTGAAAAAGTATGTAATTCGAAATAAACTCACTCACGAAAACTTCAAGAACGTGATTAAGACTAAAGGTCAAATGAGACATAAGATGAACACAATCAGGTCCATCAAACATAAGATTGGAACTTACCAACTAAAGAAAATTACACTTAGCTGTTTCGATGACAAAAGATACTTACTTGAAGATGGTGTTACAAGTTACGCGTACGGACATCACTCAATTGGTGATATGAAGGCTGAGGTGGTAATTGAAGAAAAAGTGAAACCAAGCTGGGTACCAGTAAGGGTTGAAACTCAGAGTGAATACTGCAGACTCGAGCAAGCAGTAGAACTCTATGAAGGCGCTTCTGGGAAGTCTCAGGACAACGGGAAGAGAAACATATTCCTAGACCAGAATACAAAGTAGTGATTCCACTAAAGAGGTCTAAGTTTAAGAAACTAGTACCGTTGAGAATAGTTGTAACCGATGAGAATCATCTAAGGAAAAACTATGATGTGTTACCAGAAAATGAAAAGAAATACTTAAGAATGGTGGTGGGCGAGAAGGCGAAGTCGTTGGGTGTTCAGGCAATCAGAATCCCTGGAAGCGATGAGTTGATTGCAATTGGATTTTAAGTAAAGTGTTAACTAAAAGGTTTGAGATCGAATGGGGAAGTTGAAATGAAGACAGAAAATCGGAGGGTTCTTCGAAGATGGTCTAGAAAAATTGGACGAGAATACTGCAGGATTCCTGAAGATTTAAGGCTGAAATTAAAAAAGAGATGACCGCGACGAAACCAATTAGTGGTCTAGAACCCTCATTCCCTATACTACTATTCAGCAGTTTTACCTAGCATAATGTAAGCTATACAACTATTAAACTATATAAGTATATAGTTTAGAACATTTAAGTGTATAGTAAGAACATTTAAGTCTGTGTGTATTAAATGTCACACCACTCGCCCGCTAATGAACTTATCAACCCGAACATGTTGCTAAATTTAGTTTTTGTTCGTTTGTTCGTCAATACGTTTGCTTTGTCTTCTTGTATTTGTGTTTAATTATTATGTTTGCTTTAACTTCAAAATAATTAGATATACCATTAGTTGCTCTTTTTGGAACCCCGTTATTGGAGAACTATCTCTGTGTGGAAATTCCAGTCATTTGTAACCATAGTACTCTATATAGATCTATTGCAATGGCAAACTTGTAAAATAAAAAATAGTATATAGCTACACATATTGCGAAGGTGTGGTATAAGTGTGCGTAGTAACAATCGGATTGGTAATGTTATCTCCTTTGATAGCATTGGTTGCGTAAGTACAGTCTCTGGTCTTGGGTGGCACCGCGGCTATGACACACCAGTCACTGAAATAGATACTACATTGTATGTAATAGACATTGACGTAACCGTACAAATACTGTACAATGACCTAATGTGACTAATTTTAGACTTTTAGATAGACATAAAAGTGTGCGATCTTTTTACAATCATTAAAAAAATATTGATTTTATGACCATTCGCTTCACAATCGCTATAGAAACAATCGCCTAGAAGATTACAACACTCAATAGCCAAGCTCTAATAAAGCGTATGGCATCACGTAAAAGACAGTACCGACATCGCGTTCGGTGCTAGGAATGCAATAAGGAAGTCGACAGTGATTATAAAGAGGTGCATTCTCGATTGGTTCACAATGGTAAAAAAGTAAAATGTCATCCAGTGATGGAATCATCGGATTCATCCCAGTCGAAAATCAGTACTTTCTTTGTACAAAGTAACATGACAACTAAGGACGATAACCTGCAGTATTACTTAACCCTACTGGGAACTGAATCGAGTGGTAGTAAAGATTCTCCAGTCACAGTGTCTTTTGAGGAAGATCTATCTGAGAAAAATGTGAAGGAACCCATGAGCGAAGACCAAACAGAACCAATGACAGCGTTCATTGATGTTGATGAATTAAATGCACTACCACAGCTCAGAGAAAGTAGTGAACAGAATACGGTGACGGACAGTGAAGATGTTACACCAGAATCAATGACGACTTCTGACATGCTAGCACCTACATCAATGGATGATCTAAGTTCACCAGCACCTATTCTAGACGAACAGTCTGAAAAAGGTTTCCGTTCCCAGTGAGAATACAGAAAAGATTTCCACCCCCCACGCCCCAAAACAGCCTATATTAGATGAATTCCCTGCAAGAAAATTCGGCAATGAGACATTTGTGCGAAGATTTCAATCTGAATGGTACAAGAAGTATCCGTGGATTAGTTACGAAGTGGATAAGGATGCATGCATGTGTTTTGCCTGCGTAGAATTTGGGAAGGATACTTCATTTGTGTTTAGGAATTGGAAGAAGTCAGCAAAGCTAGCAAAACATGGCAAGAGCGAGAACCATGTTAGATCCATGACAAGATGGCTCCAATTCAAAGCAATGCAGAGAAACAAAACTTCCGTACTACAGCAGCTGAATACTGCACATCAGGACCAGGTTGCTAGTAACAGACAATACTTAAAAGTAATCATACAATCCTTGATGTATACTGCACAACAGAATGTTGCGATTAGAGGTCATGAAGAGAACCGGAATGATATATGGGAGGTATCTGATATAAATCGAGGGAACTTTCTCGAGTTACTTTGCATAAGATGCAACAATTTACCTTGGCTGAGGTCTAAACTGCAAAGCCAGCTCCAGTTACATGCTCAGTGGACATCACCTGCTATTCAAAATGAACTACTGGAAATAGTAGCAAACGTCATGCTTGAGAGGATAGCAGCAGAAGCGAGAAGTAGCGACTATTACGGAATAGTTGTCGACGAAACGGCAGATATCAGTCGAACAGAGCAGGTATCTCTTTTCCTTAGATATGTTTTCGACGGCGAAACCAAAGAGACATTTACTGGTTTCTATTCAACCAAATCCATGGAAGGGGAAGTATTATATGAGCTAGTAAAGACAGCCATTAGCAAGCTGGAATTGAGGTTGGAAGACATAGATGCAGAATGTTTTGATGGTGCTGCAAATATGAGTGGAGCTCGTAAAGGGCTTGCCGCACGTATGAAGGAGTGTTCACCTCTTAGTATCTACGTTCATTGCCATGGGCATCGGCTTAACTTGGCGCTACAAGATACGATGACCACAATTGAGCCACTTCAGAAAGCTTTAGGGGTGATCCAGAGTCTCCATAATTTCTTGGAAGGAAGTCCCAAACGCCACGCCATCTTCAAGGATATCGAAGTCGAAGATGTAACACTGACGATTAAATCGCAGAGTGCTACTAGATGGTCTTGTTGCTGGGCAGCTGTAAAGGCAGTGGTAAACCAATTGCCTAAGATCATCGAGGCTCTTCTCTCACTCTCAAAAGATCGCGATCCAAAGACCTACAATGACAGCAATTCGCTACTTAACTCGATTTGTGACTTTCGATTCATGTTTGGTTTGAATGTATTGAAGGTTAATTTTGTCCAACACCGATGGTTTGAGCAGATACCTACAAGGGAAGCAGATGGATGTCGTCACGGCAAAGAAGAGTGTTGATGGCGTGATCAAAACACTAAGTGGATGTCGTACCCAAGAAAATTTTGATCTGATGTGGTCGCGTGCTGAAATCATGGCAGACGAAATCAAGGAACTAATTGAGGATACAGATTTCAATTTCGAAGATGCAAAGGTACCAAGACTCCGACAGCCATCACGGCGGCTGCAGGCACTCGTCGGCGAAACACCTGAAGTGAATGCACAAGTGGAGTACCGAGCAGCAGAAGACCACTATCGTATCACATGCTACTACCTAAGCATTGACAAAATTGTAGCGGAGATGAAATATAGATTTGAAGGTAATGATCAAGAGGTGCTATTGGCACTTGCAGACATTGTCTTCAGCAGCTCTCCAACCAGGGAGAATATTGAGTTGGTATCAGACTTCTATGGTATCGACAGTGAGCTTCTTGGCAGCGAGAAAAACGTCTTTGAGAATATTGACGCCGATTACCCTGATTCTGAGAGAAAAAAACGTCGCCAAAATTGTGAGGAGAATGTTCGAAAATGGTGTTCATGAAGTTCTTCCTGTTGTTTACAAAGTATTTTCGATTCTGGCCACGATCCCTGCAACATCCTGCTCTGCTGAGAGATCGTTCAGCGCTCTTCGCCGCTTGAAAACCTATCTTCGAAGTACAATGGGCCAAGAACGGTTAAACAGCATTGCCCTTATCAATGTTGAGAGAGCTTATGCAAATAGTACTTTAAAGAACGATATGGAAAAGATAATTGACATTTTTGGACAGCGACGTAATCGTAAATCTTATTTCTTCTAGTCTAGATCGTAGCAATCTGAACTAATTTATCATTTTGCTAAACTAAATTCCTTGCACGTCTAGTGCTTTACATGAGAGAATTTCATATATCAAATAAAATGTTGTTACGTTAGTAACTTTCTCTTTCTCTGTAAATCGTAATGAATATATTTAGCTTATAATTGAAATGGCTAGGGACGACATATTTCTTTTTATATCAATCTTCAAAGGAAAGCTTTTCATTTATAGTCTTCTCAGATTATATAATATTATGATGACGTCACGAAATCTATGACGTCATGTAATTCGGGCAAATTCAGCCCAGCCCCCCCCCCCAAAAAAAATGTGCCCGTACGCCTATGAGTGAATCTACTTTTACATTGCAGTTGAATGTTGAACTTTCAGTTGCAGAGTGTAATTTATTGTTCTTATAGTGCAGAGACTCCAGAGGCTGAGAGGCAGAGTGTATTGTTCATTAATTTTGATCATTCATTTATATATAAACGTTTGCTATTGTAAATTATCCATTGGTGCTTTTCCACCAAACTCCCAGCATATATATGGTGTCCCAAAAAATTTCCCCTCTGTTGTTGGTTAATTACTATGAGTAAAGCCTGGTTTCCATATGGTCATAACGGTCATAAAAATAGAGTCACAATTTTCTCAACAGTCCGCATATAGTAGTTTATACATGTAAACCACATATAAATCATAAGTATTCACTACTTCTAATCACTCTGCATATTTTCAGTTCTAAAATGTTGCATTTCAGCTGATGAGAAAATTGACTCAATCTTTACGACCATATGGAAACCAGGCTTTATAGTACTTAACCAACAACAGAGGGGACATTTATTTGGACACCCTATACATGTGCCTGTGAGTTTATACACACCCCAAGCCCAGGGATATTCAAAAAAGAAACACTGGTTGCAGTTCAAATCAAGCCTAATGATAAAATATTTTTCTTCCTGGCAGCAGACTTCCAGACCAAAAATCTCCTGCCAATTTTTTTTATAAATTTGAATTTTGGTTGTAATTCAATAACAGCGTCATGTATTTAATAATTATTCACTGAAGGTGAGGTGATTAGTTGGGGAATATTCACTGAGACAAAGATTTGACCAATCAACATGTAGGATTTGTTATATTCCCTTGTGCAAAAATACTAAACTACCTTACTAAACTACCTTACTAATTAGTCATATACTACCTCAATATTAAGAAAAATATAGGTTTACTAGAATTAGGAACATGAAGCAATTCTATGAAACAATATTTGAATTTTGTTTTCAGATTGTAAATCTGAATTTATATCAGTATTCATACATGCACTATTCAATAGTAGTACGCCCTTGTTTTCCACATGTATCATAATCATGAATCATGATAACAGACAGTCATATATAGCACTGCCACATGATACAAATTTTTTATGTTATGATTGTTGTATTTATGCTCTAATTGTGATGTTTGTTACTTTAATGCAACCTCGTACCCAGGATGACTTTAATGCTGATTTCAACCTCGTACCCAGGGCTTCTGCGCTTATTGCTCTCAGAGAGAAATTTCTCGAGCTTCATTCTTGATATCTTGCTTTTCCTTAAAAAATTCCTGTGAGATTAAAAAAAATTTCCTGGCAGCATGCTGCCAGACTTTCTCATGCCTTGGTTCAAATGTTGTGTTTTGTCACCTGGGGTTTCTTGACATTGTCGAAACAGCACAACTGGTCATGGAAACCATGCTTTTGAAGTATAGGCAATTAGAAACTTAAATTAGAGATAATTTCATCAATAATTGGCCAAGGCAACCTAAAAAAGCATATATATTTATCTTCTATTGTCAGAATATCACACTGCCTATAGTTGCCTGACAATTTTACTTTGGTATCAATGAGTTGAGTCCATCAGTGGTTGAGGTTTAATTAAGCAGATTATTATTTCAAATTAACTTTGAATATATTTTATATTTGTTCTCATATTTATGCTCAATTAAATATTGAATGATAAATACACCCCACATTTTAAATCAATTTTGTTGTTCTAATTCAAAATTCAACTTCACTATTAAAGTAGATTCACTCTACAGAAAGCTTCATTAAGGTTGCCTTCCAGTTTAACAGAATCACAAATAAAAAAGTACTAAAAGTAAAAATATCTTTTATAGTACCAACTAAGACATATATTTTGTAAAAAGGCTTTATAGTAAGATGGATAATTGAAATTTGAAACCCTCTGGTCGATCAAGGTTAAACATAAATGATAAAATGAACTACTAACTTTCCTTTAAAAGTATGCTTGAGTATAGTAGATCATATTCTGTCTCCGTAATTGGAAAGCAAACTAGAAATTGTGCTGTCATACCACTGTGGCGATAAAATATTATTCCCGCATGGACAACTTTGAACGAACAAAACTGACGATATTTTAGGGCAATCTGGATAATTTTCATTTTAAAAGCATTAACATAACATCTTTTACCCACGGTGGAGCGATCAGCTTGGTAAAACTTCGCAAAGTATCTCAAATTCGGGAAAATTCACGTTGTTCGCCATACATTTCTATAGTAATTTGTATCACTCCGTGGTCCCCGGAAGTGATTTTCGCATATATAATTTGGCTTCACGTTTCACACCTAGAGAAGCTATATCCAGTCTACTATTAGATCAGTGGTTTAAACGCCTTGTTCTGTCATTCCACACCATTATTTGTGTTGATGATGCTTAACAATCGATCTTTAAGAAATGCCCAAACCCATTTCTAGGGACAGAACATAGATTTGGAACCACATTGTATATGTCATTGTGAGAAAATAAAAGGAATACTTTTCTATATTATATAAAAAGATTTGCGTTCATCACAACTTTGTGTGAATTTATTTAGGCCTACATAGACGACGAAATATCCATATTAATAAATTTGTGAAACTTGCGACAAATACGACTGTTCCGCTAATCGCTATCTATTGAAAAACAGATAGAGTAGCTAACCCAATCAGAGTGGATCATTTACATTATAACTTGACTACGATTTTACTAAAACTGAGTTAGGGGCTGTTTAGGGGCCGACCATTTAACTTTTGAGGGGGGGGGGGG